GATGATGATGAGGATGCTGCTGCTGCTGCTGCTGCTGATGATGATGATGATGATGCTGATGATGATGATCAGGAGGAGGAGGAGGAGGAGGAGGAGAAGGAGGAGCAGGATGATGAGGAGGAGGGGGGAAGATGAGGAGGAGGGGAAATGAGGAATATGAAGGGCGAGGATGATGCTGATGATGAAGAAGATGCTGCTGCTGCTGATGCTGCTGCTGCTGATGATGATGCTGATGGTGTTGATGATGCCGCTGATGATGATGCTGCTGCTGATACTGCTGATGATGATGACCTAGACGACGATGCTGAAACTCAGTATGATGATGCTGCTGCTGATTATGATGCAGATTCTGCTGCTGCTGATGATGATGATGAGAAGGAGGAGGATCAGGAGGAGAAGGACGGCGGAGGAGGAGGAGGAGGAGAAGGAGGAGGAGAGGAGGAAAGGAGGAGGAGGAATGAGGAGGAGAGGAGGAGGAGGAGGAGGAGGAGGAGGGGAGGGGGAGGAGGAGGAGGAGGAGGAGGAGGAGGAGGAGGAGGAGGAGGAGTACGAGGAGGAGGAGGAGGAGGAGGGGGAGGAGGAGGGGGAGGAAAGAGGAGGAGGAGGAGGAGGGGCGCGCAGGGGGTCGGCGGACGCCGAGGAGGGGGAAAGAGAAGGAGGAGGAGGAGGAGGAGGTGGAAGAGGAGGAAGGGGGACCCTTCCGTATTCTTCTCCTCCTCCTTCTACTCCTCCTCCTTCCCACCTCCCCCTCCTCCTCCGTCTCCTCCTCCTCCCCCTCCTCCTCCTCCTCCTCCTCCTTTTTCTCATCGTTCTCCTTCTTCCGAAGGAGGGGAAAGGACGATCCCAGATCGGGTACATTTACCCTGAGGCTTTTCCGAGGTATCGGAAGTGTTTGACCACTTCAGACAAACAACTCCCAGCTATGAGCATTTCTGGTGTGCCTGGGCTTCTGCAGGCCCAGCGAAGACCTCTGCGGAGACGTCTGGGGACTTCCGGACGGAGGGGAGGGAGGATCCAGGATCGAGGACCCAGGCTTTTCACTTTTTCGGCGTCGAGGGTCGAGGACGTAGGTCCAGGATCCATGACCTAGGACCTCTGGTCTTTTCGGCCTCCTGGGGCGCCCTCGTGGCCACGGCTGGAGCCTCCTCGAAATAGCTAGTTAGTGAAACTCTTGCCAGGACGCGCCCCAGGAGAGGTCCGTGGTCTTGATTTTGACGAGGGCCCAGACGTGGATCCCATGAGGAGGGAGACGCGCCCACACTCTCAGAACCCCTTCATGTTGATCAAGGGCCGCAAGTGGTGAACGATCTCCACAAGGCTCCGCTGGTTGTGCATCACCTCGTTCAGGTCCTTGTAGGCCATCGGTGCCTCGTCCTTCACCTTCTCCGCGTAGCGCGAGTCCCAGACAATGCCGTGGGCCTTCATGTGGTCGAAGAACTGCTTGTTGCTAACGCTGCGAAACGCCTTGGCCCGGGACATGGACCTTCCTGCCCCATGGGAGCATGACTGCCAAGACTCTGCTTCCCCTTTGCCCCGGACGATGTAGGAGCCAGTGCCCATGCTGCCTGGGATGATGCCGAGCTGTCCCTTTCTAGCGCTGGTGGCGCCCTTCCTGGTCACCCACAACTTTTCCTCAATCTCAGCCCCAGTCTTCTCGTCGCGATGCCTGCAACTCTCGCACTCACAATAATTATGGTGTATATTCACCATCTTGCTCCAGGAGGTGGACCTGCCCGTTTCCCTTTTAAGCACGTGCGCGAACGCCTCCATCATGAAGCGGCGGTTTTGGCGCGCGTAGGATTGACAAAATGTCATGTCAGTCAAGTAATCCTTTCCTTCTTTTGACTTGATCTCCAGGTAAGCCAAAGCCTCGGGCTTTCCCCCGCACTGCCTGGCCGCGACCTGGTCATAGTGCTGCGCGGTCACGTTCCCGATGTTGCGAGAGCCGCTGTGCAGCATCATCCACACTCTGTCGGCCTCGTCGTACACGAGTTCGACGAAGTGGTTGCCGCCGCCAAGGGTACCCAGCTGCCTGGTGTGCTTGGCGGCCAGCGTCTGCCGCAGCCAGCTGGTCGGCCGGTGCTCGCTGACCAGCTCGCGGACGGCGTCCTCCATCTCGCGGGTGCTCCTGCCGTGGGACTCGAAGCCCGTGGGTATCGTGGCCCTAAGGCCGCGCTGGATGGACAGCAACTGCTTCTCCGACAGGTCCCTGCGCAGCAGCGGCCCCTCGATGGGTACGGCGCACATGCCGCAGCCGATGTCCACACCCACAGCGTTGGGGCAGACGTAGTCCCGGGACGCGAACACTGAGCCGATCGTCGCCCCCTTTCCGAGGTGCACGTCTGGCATCGCGGAGACGTAGCCCACCGGCATGCGGCTGCGCGCCAAGTTCATGAGCTGCTCCCTGGTGCCCTCGTCGATGTCGTCCGTGTAGAGGTACACGGGCACGCCCCCTGGCACGTCTATTCTCCTGGGGAAGTCTGGGCCGTCGGCTTCTGCTCTGCCCGCGCCGGGCGCGGAGCCACTCCGCGGCGTGGAAGGCCCGACGGACGATCCCAGCACGGCGCCGCGCCGCGCCGCGGACGGCGAGGAGGGGGTGCGGCCCGAGAGGCTGAGGACGTCGAGGAAGGACGGCGCTGAGGCGGCTACGCGCAGGGGTGACCCTAGGCACTCTCGGCAAGAGTGACCTCTGGTGCACGGCGTCAGGGGGGCCGCGAGGGGGACAGATCCAAGCGCGCAAACAAGTGCCGAGAGGGGCCACTGTGGGCTCGCACCAGCGATCACCTCAGCGAAGGCCCACTCAATTTTCGGGACGTGGCTCAAGGCTCCAGCGGCCGTTCGGGACGATTTGGGCCCCCCCCCGGAACGCTCGCGGCGAGGCGCAACTGCTGAGATGCATCCTGAGGCACCAACTCCTTCACCGCCTGGAACCGAAAAATCGTGACCGTAGCCGAACCGCAGACATCCGACGTCGTGATGTTTTCACCACGTGGCTCCCCAGGCGTCTGGACGCCTTCCCCCGCAATGGCATTTCATCCAGTCGTTTACGGTCCTGGAACCTGGTGAGGGCCCCCAGAGGCCGAAAATGGACAAAAGCCCTACGTCGTGATTTGTTCTGGACGGGAGGATGTAAGGGTCTTACGCGTAGCCGAATAAAGGCGTTCGGGCGTTCGGCGGAGGATCGTGCCGCATCGCCGATGCATTGGCGACGTCGGCGGTGCGTCTGCGCCGTCGGCGTGCAGAACATCGGCCTCCACATCGAGCCGCATCGTCGATAGGTCGGCGATGCTCCGACCACACTTACTTGGACTTTGTTTGGGAGGCCTGGACTTACAGTAGAGGCTCGACCACAAGAAACCTTCCACAAGAAATCCAACCCTGAGACCCCCGGACGTTCCTGCTGACTTTTGGCGCAGGAGCGCCACGCCCTCCACAGCAAAACCACCGGAACCCAAGAAACCCAAGGCACCTGGGAGGCAAACAGGGTGTCTCTTGGCATGGGTTTCCACTCTACGCGTAGCCGAATGAAGTTGAGCAGGGACCGACTGTCCCGGCATTCCCAAAGGCCTACCACGACACGTTCTGAGAACCCAGAAATGCTCGAATGACAAGAACAATCTTCCTACAACATAGGCCCGACGTGCTAAAACAAGACAACCCCAGCCAGAAATGTTCCAACATAACATCCCGTGCAGACCACAAGAGAAGGTTCTTAGCACATCCTTTGGTGGGCCTAGAAAGGCGAACCAGGACGCTCCGCCACTGCTTGCTGAAGGCGTCTTGCCCGAGGCCGGCGCGGCGGCGGGCACCTCCGCGGCGGCGCCAGCCGGCCGGCCGCCCGGCCGCGGCGCGGCGGAGGGCGCCGCCGCCTGGCCGCGGGGCCCGTCCGCGGCGGCCTCCGCGCCGCCGCCGAGGGGCCCGCCGCTCGTGGCGCGCGCGGCGCGAGGCCTGGCCGCCAGCGGGTCGTCGTCGACGTCGTCCACGACGCGCGGCTGCGCGCCAGAGCGGCCCCCGGGCAGGAGTGGCCCAGGGATCCTCCTCCTCCTCCTCCTCCTCCCCTTTCCTCCTCCTCCTCCACAATTACTCAATATGAATACTACTCTCCCTCTTCCCCTGACGACGGCCTGGGAGTGTCCGACCCCCCCCCCGCGTACTGTTTTTTACACACAGGTTTCCCCGGAGTTGGGTCTTCGCCTGCATTTTTTTCCAAAGTGCTGCTCTCGCTGAGGCGCCGGCCTCACTTTCGGGCCCCGCTCGTTCCGACTCGTGCTCCCGCTGCAGCGCTGGCCTCATTTCCGTGCTTCCGCTCGTTTCGAATCGTGCTCCCGCTGCAGCGCTGGCCTCATTTCCGCGCTTCCGCTCGTTTCGACTCGTGCTCCCGCTGCAGCGCTGGCGTCATTTCCCGTGCCATGCCACGGCGTGCAATGCAATGCTAGGTTGATCCTACGCTGTGGGGTGCTCTTCTACGCCATGCCATGCCGTGCTCTACAATGCATCACGTACCCTTTCGGGATCATTGCCCTGCTCGACATCCGACTGTGCGAGTAAAGAGGGGATCTGCACCATGGTAAGGGATGGGAGGGAGGGGTAGGATGTCAGATATGACGCGATCGCACCTAGCTTGTCCAACCCTCCTCCTCCTCCTCCTCCTCCAACCCTCCTCCTCCTCCTCCTCACCCACCTCGTCCTCCTCCTCCTCCTCCTCCTCCTCCTCCTCCTCCTCCTCCTCCATCCCTCCTCCTGCTCCTCCTCATCTATCCCTCCTCCTCGCACGTACCCAGAGAGGCGGCCGCGGTCCTTGACTCCGATCACCGCCGTCGGAGCTGGAACCGCACAGTGGCAGCCAGCGCGCGCTCTCTATGGGAAGAGAGCGACTCGAGCGAGGCTCGCTCGGCATTCAGAGCATTATAGAGAAGTGTAGCAGCAGCAGGGATGGCGATGGAATCAAGAGACGGGCTCGAAAGACCAAGACGCTGGACAGGGCAGCCAGGGAGAGAAGGACCTGGAGCACGAGAGCAAGAATGGACAGAAAGCGGGGACAGGACCAGTAGTGGCGGATGCAGTCGCCGCAACGGTCGAGGCCGTTCGGCACGCACCCTAGGATACACGAGCAACGGATCTGGAAGCGTTCGTCGGTCGTCCAGCCGCCGATCAGCAGCTTAAGGACGGCGCCTGCGATCGCAGGCGGGGCACGATTCAGAGTGGTGCGGACCTGGGGCCAGGGCCATGCTCGGATAACGGCCTCGGAGCAAGGGAGCCACGAGGAAAGACGAGCAACAAAGACGTCGACGAGAGGGTCAGGGAATCGCACCTCGAGCATAGCCTTGGCCAGGGCACCTTGAATTCTCAAGCTCTTTCTTCCAAACCCTCGGGCGTTGGCTGACTGACCTTGCTCAGGAAGAGGAGGAGGAGGGGGAGGGGGCGGGGGAAGCGCAGCAATCGCAGCAGCAGCGGAGGCGGAAAGGAGGTCACGCGAGGCAGGGGACGAGGTCACAAGGTCGCGCCCTATGGGTCTCGGGAAGGCCTGCGAGGCCGACTCCAGGAACTCCGCAAAGGATGGCTGGGACCAAAAAGGAGGGGACAGCTCGCCGCCGAGAACGCGTCGGTAGGGCTGGCAAGCATCCGCGGACCTACGAAGCAGCGGCATCAGAGTGCGCCAGGACTCGATCGTGACCAGGCTCGAACGGACGAGGGCCGCCGACGTGGAAATCACCAGGCTCGAAAACGCAGGGCCGTTCCAGCGGCCAAGGTTAAACCAACCTCCCCTGGGAAGGGCACAATGTGCCGTGTGCCAGAGACGGGCCAGGAGAGCGGCTTCCTGGGCAGGGGCAGCGGCTGGCAACGGCATGAATTGCGCTACATAACTCAGAACAGATACTGCACGAGAGTTATAGTTGAGGGTCATGACGCGGTGCGGGGACGTCATCTATCCCTCCTCCTGCTCCTCCTCCTGCTCCTGCTCCTGCTCCTGCTCTTCCTCCTCCTCCTCCTCCTCCTCCTCCTCCTCCTCTTCCTCCTCCTCCTCTTCCTCCTCCTCCTCCTGCTGCTGCTGCTGCCGCTCATGGCGGTCGAGGGAGATCCTGTGGCCATGCAAACCTTTCCTGCCCCTCCCACCCGGCAAAGACCTGGGTGGGATCCTCCTCCTCCTCCTCCTCCTCCTCCTCCTCCTCCTCCTCCATCATCCCTCCCCATCCTCCTGCTCCTGCTGCAGCTCTTTCGCTGCAACTGCCGATTCTGCCCTGCTTCGGGCCCCGGAGCCTCACGCCTCGATCTGGCTCGGCAGATGCCGCAGAAAGACGGAGTCCAGTGCATCAGTCGAGCTTTTTCCTCGAGGTTGCCTTTTTGTTTGTGACGTCGGACCTCAGGGGACCTTTGGGTGCGCGGCTCAGCGTCGCATGCGGGTGCGGCATTGGCGGCCTGCATGCTCGGGCTCGGTCCACGCGCGCCCCCCCTGAGATCCGACGTCAGGAAAACTCTGCAACATCGTAAGACATCGCAGCCGGACCCCTGGACCCCTCTCTCGGCGGCACTCTTCGCCCCGCATCGATCTGCGAGGGCCCCCGAGGCCCGCCGCGAGGCGACGCATCGGCCCGCTCCGAGCAGCAGGCGGCGCCAGGACGGCAGGGCCCCGAAGGCCGCGCACGCCCCAGAGGCCACCCCGGCGGAGGGCCGCTCCCTGGCGCGCAGCCGAGATGTGCACCGCCCGCCGCGACGCCAGGCGGCGCGCGGCTGCCGGCGGGCCCCCGGGCCCCAGCGGCGCTGGCGACCAGAGGCCGGCGAGGGCGCCGCGCGCGCCCGCTCGCGCGGCCGCCCGGAGGCGCATGGCGCGGAGCGCGAGCGCGCGGCCCCCCGGAGGAGGCGCGCCCCGTGCCAGCTCCTGCTGCTGCCGCTCGTCGTCGTCGTCGTCGTCGTCGTCGTCGTCGTCGTCGTCAATTCCTGGTGGTTCTCCTGCCTCGGGATGCGTTCCAGCATCTGCGCCTAGCCGAGCCTGTTTTGGTGAGGTATGGATCGTCCCGAACGGCCGCCAGAGAGCCGAATCATGACCCGAAAGCCAGGCGACCCTTTGTCGTCGTCTTCGTCTTCGTCCTCCTTTCCCCTGCCCTCACCTCTGCTCTTACTCCTTGTCCTGTGTTCTTCCACTCCTCCTCTCTGCATCACTCTCTGGCGCGCTCGGTTCCTGGAGTCTCCCAGCGCACGTCCACCCTCATGCTGGGCTAATTGATAGGCTGCGTCATGCTGGTCAGCTTTGTTTGATTCCTCGATGCGCGGTAACGGTTCACACATGCCAAGCGATGTATTCCGACGCGTGTGCCAGGCCACCCAACTGGGTGCAGAAGCAAGGGGAGTACAATGGATATGTCAGGAGGGAGACGGATAGGAGGAAGAGGGGGGGATGAGGGAGGAGGAAGGAGTAGGAGGGGGGAGGGCAGGAGGGAGGGAGGGAGGAAAGGATGACGATGAGGATGAGGATGAGGATGATGATGATGCTGATGATGATGGTAATGAGGAGGAGGAGAAGGATGAGGAGGAGAAGGAGGAGGGGGAGGAGGAGGAGGAGGAGGAGGAGGGAGGAGGAGGAGGAGGAGGAGGAGGTGGAGGAGGAGGAGGAGGAGGAGGAGGAGCGCGAGATCGAAGCACTGCTTTTCAAGCGCGGCAGCGGTGGAAGTCCCCACAAGTTCACCAGCTCGCTCACGAGCACGGAGCGCATGGGACGCCCCGTCCGCCCGTCCTGGGTGCGAGGAGGAGGGGAGGAGGAGGGAGAAGGAGAAGGAGAAGGAGGAGGAGGAGGAGGAGGAGGAGGAGAGGAGGAGGAGGAAGGAGGAGGAGGAGGAGGAAGGGAGGAAGAGGAGGAGGGAGGAGGAGGGGAGGAGGAGGGAGG